TATTTAAAATAATTAATTTTAAATTTTTAAAATTTTTAAAATTTAAATTCACTTCTAAAATTTTAAAAGTTTAAATTTATCTTATGTGATCCATGTTCATACCATGTCCTGCTCATCATGAATATTACCATTTCCTTCTAATAGTTAAGACTACCAGAAGTGTTCAATTTTGGAATTATGTAATCAAGATATATAACAAGTAAAACCAAAAGTCTTCTTCTCAACAACCATAAAACTAGGGCGACAGATAATAAAATAAAATATTGAGTTTTAAAATATTCCAATAAAAAAATAAGAGTTGAAGTGAGTATTTAATCAAATATTATGAGTTTTTTTGTCTAGAAATATGTTGGGGCCAATGATGTAAAAAAAATAGGAGTTAAAATAATTATTTAATCAAACATTAAAAATATTTTTTAATATTATATATATATAAATAATTTTCAAAAATTATTCTTTGATGTATGAATGATGTGTAAATAATTTTTCTTTGTTTTTAATGAAACAAAATAAATTTCATTAATACTTTATCTTTTATTTAAATTGAATAAGTTATCCGTACTCATTTACTAGTGAAATTTAATTATAAAAAATAATTTTATTAATTCTTATTTATACCAATATAAATTAACTTAATAAACCCAAATAATAAAGATAACACTGATTACACCCCATGATACAGAGATGAAGTTAGATTCCCATGCCTATTTATACAAATAAAATGATCTAGATGCACGGTTTACAATCCAACACCTTGTAACAATTAGGGGGCGTTAATGGACAGTTAACCGTATCATTTATCCGTTATTAACGGTTCGGGTACATGTTAACCTACAGTTAATCTATTACAATTTTTTATATAATTCATACTATAAAAATATATAGTACTTAACACATACTTACATCAATATAATGAATAAAATAAAAAAATTATAGCACTTAATATATACTTATGCCGATGTGGTGAATAAAATAAAAAATTATAACACTTAACACATATTTACATCGGTATAAATGAATAAAATAAAAAAGTATAACAATTAACATATACTTACATTGATGTAAGTGAATAAAATAAAATATATATATAATGTAACACATACTTACACCAGTGTAAGTGAATAAAATAAAAATATAGCACTTTATATATATACTTATATTGGTGTAAGTATGTACATCTCACAATATCTTAATACTTAAAAATAAACAAATAATTATATTGATACAAATAAAAATACATATTAGATTATTTGTATGCAAATTTTATTAAAAATATATATAAATTATAAATAATAAGAAATTTTATTTTATTTGTGTAAAAATATAATAAATTAGAAATATAATTATAAATTTAATTTATTAACGGTTAATAGTTTATCAAAATTTATTACCGTAACCTTAACTGTTAACCATCATTTTTAGCGATTTGGTAAACCGAAACCGTTTAGTATTAACGGTTCGATTAATTAACCTGTTAAATGTAAAGGTTATACCGATTAATGGTTTTGGTTAACGGACACGGATTTTTTTGAAAACCTTAGTAACAATACATTTATTTAGCATTTTATTTTAGGGTAAAGTACACAAATGGTCCCCAACCATAGGACGTTAATTTATTAAGTTTTCTGACTATTAAAAGTTACAAAATGATCCTCAACTGTATTGTGATGTATTGTTGATTTGTTAAGTCTCCGACTATTAAAAGTTAAAAAATGATCACTTGACTATTCATATATTTCAACTTGTATTTTTCCGTTAAAAAATTGGTAACTAGACGTTAACTTGTTAACTGAGAAATGATAAAATCTGATCTTAAAATTGTTTGAGCTATATTTTGTGGATCGAATCTTCGTTTACATTATGTCATTGAGCCAATTCTTAAAACATATGTCGTTGAGTAAGTTCTTAAAAGCAACGGCAGTATTAGTGGACATCATCAAAATATAATTTTATCATATCTCAGTCGGCACATTAATATCCAACTCAGACGACTGTTAATTTTTAGCAAAAAAAATGATAAGTTTGAAATATACAAATAATCAGATGACCAATTCACAAATTTTATTAGTCGAGGGACTGTTATGAGTCAATAGATTTGAAGATTAAGAGAAGCAAGAAAATTTTCCAGATTGATTGCCCTCTCATGCTCACACGCATTTTATTTTATAGTTAAAATTCTCTTAGTAAGAAAAAAAATCTGTTAGAGCTTATGTGGCATTTCTCGCTCTCAAACTTCAGCGTCTATCTTGAGTAATTGTTGTTGTTGGTTCCTGGCTCTCAATATTATCTTCCATTGCTGCTTGTTGGGTGGTAACGAACCCCTGCTCTGCTGCAATATACATAACAAAGATTCGATAAAATAACATCTTATAATTAAAAAATTATTTTATAATTATTAATAATTATAATCTTGATAAAATAATATCTTATAATTGATGATTATTTGTGCATTTTACCTTTTATTTTAGTATCTATTCCTCGTAAATTTTTCATGCTGGAAAACCAACAATGACTTGTGGGAAAGCGTGTGTTTTTTTCCCTCTTTGTTTTGACTGTAAGATGGTTTACGTTGACTCAATTTATGTGAATTGAACAGTTAAAAGTAATTGAAATGAAAAATCAAATACAATACAGTAGAAATCATTAGAGTCAGATGTATAAAAGGTACAGAAATTACCAATTCCAATGTTTCTGGAAGTCCCAGCATGCAAAATACTTACAAACAGTGATAAAGATCCCCTTGTAAAACTGTTTGGATCAAATTGTAAACTTTCATTTTTTTTAAATACCAATGTTTTATATATCAACTATCCAAAAAGAATAAAACAAATCATCTAACATAACTCATATATATGACATTTTAAATTTTAAATTATAATAATAACCGAGTCCTTTTAGTTTTGAGAACCCTAACCGCTCTCTCGCTCCACCCTCCCTCTTTTTTTCTTTTTATAATTTGTGTATTTTTTTATAGATCGAATTAATTTTTCTTCTTTGATTTTATTTAGTCGACGGTGACACTAATTTTGATATTATTTTTCGACTACCGGTTCTCTTTTTTCTTTATTTCATTTTTAATTTTTTAATAAGAATAATTATGTATTTGTAATTAGTTTATCTTTGTCTTTGTGACACATTTATTTCTGTCTTTGTGGCATGTTTCTCTATGCTTTTTGGTAGTTTTCGGTTTTCTTGTCGTTTTCATTTATTTTTTTTCTCAAAGTTGGATTTGATATCGTCAAGATTGATTAAGGTAGCGCTTATCTGTTATCATATTGATCTTATCTGCTTTGGACCCTCACATTGATTTCGATACGTGGTTTGTATTCATGGATAATTTTCTCACGTCGCTCAACTCTGATTACGATTTGTCGGTAGTTTTTCAATAACTTCATTTCCTTTTGTGGTTCGTTTGTCGATGCAGTCATATTTGTTTGTATTTTTATTTTGTTCAAATTTTTTAGTTCAATTCTTTTTAATATTTTTCTTCTTTGGTCCTTATATGATCTAGGTGACTAATTTTTATTTAATGACAATAAAAAATATCATAATTATATTCTAAATTTATAGTTAAATAAAACTAGCGATTTAAAAAAAATTATAATAATAACTAAAACTAATATAATAGTAACAAATTATTCATGTCGGTGGTAATTTAGAAATTGCTGGCATACATAAAAGAGAACGTGTCAGCAAAATAAAGAAAGGTTTAATAATAAAATAAGTATCCAAATTATATTTTTTGAATAAATGTCTTAATTATTTTTTACTCATATTAGTACTTAAAGTTTTTATATTACCTTTAAAGCGCTTAATCTTTTCTTAGTTAGTATTTTAAGTATTCGGATATTAATCACCGTTAAAAATCTTGTTAAGTAATATGTATTATATTTTAATAATTTTATTTTTTTTAAAAAACAATTAAAAAATCTTGTGCAATTCCAACCCCACCCCCAGCCCGCCGCATTCTCCCTCCCCTTTGCATGTGCTTTCCCCATCATTCCCTTCGCCTGTGCTCTCCACATCATCCCATGCTTCAATTAATTATATTTTAGGTTGAATTCAATAATAAATTTGATATTAGGATTAGGAATTGAGTATTAGGTTCAAAGATTTATGTTTAAGAATTTATAAATTTAGGGCATTTGGTGTTTGATCAGTTGCGAAAATAAGAAGTTTTGTTCGTGGGTGGTTGGTAGAGGTGCACAAAAAATCCGAATATCCGATTTTGACTAAAAAATATCCGAAACTGGATTTTGGAAAAACCGGTTTTTTTAAACCGAATCGGATATTTAAAAACCGGATAGTATAACCGGTTTGGGAAAAAAATGAACGACCGGTTTTTTTACCGGATTAAAAACCGGTTTTTCATCCGAAAAAAAAACCCAGTTTTTTAAAAAAATTGGATTTTTTCCGAAAAAATCCAGTTTTTTTTAAAAAAATCGAGTTTTTTGCAAACCGAAACCGGTTACACCATCCGGCCTTCCAAACCGGTTAGGATCCGATCCGGTTTTTTTAAAATCCGATTTTTGGGTTGGGGAAAAAACCGGATCGGTTTTTATCCAATCCGGATCGGATTGAAATCCGGCTTCTGTGCATCTCTAGTGGTTGGTCAATCACATGTCGCCAGATGTTCAATCGATTGACAATGTTGATAGTGAACGACAGTGGCAAAAGTATTAAAATTAAGGTTTTAAAAGTTTTAAATTTTTTTAAGATTTAAAAAAAAAGATTATTTTTTCAAAAAAAAAAGTTATTTTTTATTTTAAATAAAAACTCTCAAAATTACCAGAACATAATATATATCACTTAACGAAATTTTTTTAATGACAGTTAACGTCCGAACACCTAAAATGGTAATAAAGAAAATGTTAAACACTAATAACGGAGAAAACGTTAAGCAAAGAAATGAGTCAAAAATTAGTTTAAACACCCATTTCAGATAAATGATATAATTTGAGTACTTATTTTGATATTAAGCCATAAAGGAAAGAAGAGACTACTGAAATATAGTTTTTCTCAGAATGCGTAAAAAACACTGTTCACTCCACACCCCTTAGCCATGAGTAAGAACACGAAACTCAATTGGTTCCAATATGATTTAGGGGTAACCCCACGGTAGGCCTACTTATAAATCCTTTGTTACAGTCAGCAGCACAATGCAAGCGTTTAGCAATGGCCATCATTGTCTAGCCTACCTATTTCGGCTAAAGGTTAGCAAAAAAATGCAGTGAAAATTGTAGAGTAAGCTTCAAGAAATATTCATTGTTGTGGTGGAGTGGAGAGATGAACAAGTCTGTGCCCTACAGTTTCTGCGATTGTAGAACTCGGAGCTACCACATTGAAGGCTCCATTCTCGGCAGTTTCTAAAGCAACATCTGCTGCATCATTTGGTGCCCCAGTATTGCCTGTTCGGACTGGGCAGAGTAGACCTTGCAATCTCAATAAATAGCTCTGGCTGGGAGGCTGAGTTCTCACGTATTGGGTTGTTGTGACTATACTGGCAGATGATCGTTCAGATTCAGCACTTCGGAGATTGGATAAGGCACTTAGGTCAAGATTCGGGAACACAGAACATCGGCATCGAGGACACTTCACATTCAGTTTAAGCCACTGGTCAATGCACTCTACATGAAAATTGTGAGCACAAGGCAATCCACGAACCTGCACCACTCCTCGTTAGAAACTCAAACTAATGTTAAACCAAGAATACACCATCTACTAAGTTTTCAGTATATTAAGTAGCATTCTCGGCAGGCACCTTCAGATTTAGAATCAGAAAAAGTTCTCATTATAGTGTTATATTTATTAGGTATTTTTTCCCCATATGATAAATGTGAGTTGCAGTGATTGGAACTAATATATTTGGGCCAGTAGACCACAAAACTCATAACTACATGTATAAACTTCCATATCCCACAAACGTAACAAGATTTTAATACAATGTAGATTACCTTTAAAGAGCCAAAATTCACAAGGAACAAATCCAACTCTCTCACTTATAATTGATGCCATAAACATTAGTAGCATAAATGGAAGACCTTAGAGAAGTGCTTGAGTTGAACTAAAAGGTTCTACCTCATTCCCTACATGGAACTCTTCCAAGCAGATTGGACATTCACTGCAATCAGTTGGAACGGCCTTCAACCTGAATTTCGGAAGTTCTTGAATGAGTGCTTCTACTGCTTCTCTCTGAGAAACCGCAAAAAGAAAAAGAAAAGAAAAAAGAGGGAAAATCAGGATAGAAAAATCTATGAGAGATACTTCAAGCTCATCTTCAGATGGAGGAACATAGTATCTAGGTCCTTACTTTATATTTTATTCAGGTTTATCATAACTCTTACACAAAATCAGGATTTTTTTAAAACTAATTAGCATTTTACTTTTATTTTCAAATACTGTAGTTTTAGGGTCATATCTGGTCATTTTGCATTTTTAATCAAGTACTGCATCTAGTTATAGATACCTATGTTATTATAGTTTCAACTATGTTTTACGCATTGAATATTTAATTATTGAGACATTCTGTCTAGTAATCCTATCAGGTTTAGTTTCTGTCCCGGATCCTCTATAATCCCTAATTGTTCTTGTTTATTCTGGAGCTCCTCTCTAACTATTTCTTCTCCTAACTGGTTCTACATGATCTTTCTTAGGATTTTAAAATTTAAGACAAACAACAAAACAAAAATAAAGGAAATAATTAATGTGGTTTAACCACCGACCTGAGCCGGAGTCAAATAAAGCCCAGGATGGTACGGTGCTGTATCTTGGCCCATGCCTCTCATCTCTTGACCAGCAGCTTCAAATGCCCAATCCGGTACTCGAATCATGTCCACCAAAACCTAGATTACATTATGTGTTTAGTTCAGAGCCATCAAACTGTGAGGCCTCTATGGAAAGAGAATTTCTGAAACCACCGAGACTCGCACATACATGTTTAGATAGTCGAGGAACTTATGATAATTAGAAACTCAACAACATTGAAACAAAAGTGACTATTTCAAAGAAAAGGGCAGTGATCAGGTACAAAACATGCCTTAGCGAAGAAGCTATAAAGGATGTCAGGCACCAGAGAAACTATAGTGTCTCAGCTGAACTAAGCTGCATTACCTTTCCGAGATCAAGGTTCTTATGTATCCACATAATTGAATTAGATTTTGATTTGAAGATAGATAAAAGTAGTACTCGTTGGAAACACCAAATTAGAAATTCCAGTCAAGCTTCCTACAACAAACTCCGGAAAGACGGGATAGAAAGCAAAATGAAAAATAAATGTGTAGCACATAAATTGTGCAAATATTTACAAGACAATCTCTTTTGTTTATCTGAACTCATTAACCTTGATACATTTATCATAAGTATGCCTTATCCATATTTCAATATTAAACAAATTGCCTTGTGAAACTTTTATTTCCTAAAATAATCATGCAAATGAGTGCGATAGGTAGAGAGAGAGAGAGAGAGAGAGAAAATTCGAAAAAGTCCATTGCTTCCGTTCAGGAATGGACAGTGTTCATTGATAATCTTAGTAAGAGGGTTTCAAGAATTGTGTTAAGGGATTTCTTTAGTCCTCATGGTCAGATTCTGAGGATTTTCATTCCTCGTTTCTTAGAGAAACCAAATTATAAGTCCACTACTTTTGCTTTTGTTTCTTTCGCTGATGAGGAAAGCAGGGAGAAAGCAGTTCAGTCTGTCAATGGGAAGTGGTTCGATGGGAGGAACATCTTTGTAGGGGTTGCTAAGTACCAGAAGGTTAGTATGAGGGAGGCTGGTGCTGGGAAGAGGACGCTGGGTCGTAAGTCTGGTATGTATGTGACTTCTAACTCTGGGAGGAATGCACAGCCGGTGAATAGCTTCAGGGATGTCAGATCGTACAAGGAGGTTGTGCAGTCTGATGCCAACATGAGAAGAATTCAGGTCTCTGGGTCAAATCTGGTTGGTTTCAATAGGAGAGCTAGGGGAGGGAGATTTGTTTGGGAGTTGTTCAATCCAACAGTTAATTCGGATTGGGTTAAACGATCTTTATCTGGGATTTTGAAACCAGATTTGAGTTTTGAGTCGATTAAGGATGCTTTGAAGATTGAGGGTTTAGGTTTCCAGGTATCAAGATGGGGATATGCATGGAAGGCTTGCATCATCACCTTTGATTCAGTTGACAAATTCTCTTTTGCTCGGGAGAATAAGAAGGTGGAGCTGTCCTTGCGTTTTGACTGGTTGGATCCAGTTCTGAACGAGAATGGAGTTCCTTTGGCTGTGTCAAATTGATTTGTGTGGTCTTCCTCTTCGGTGCTGGAATGAGTTTTTTATGGAACATGTTGGGAAATGGGGGAGGTTCTTATGTTTTAAGGATAAATCAAAGTTCAGATCTGATTTGTCGTCGGCAAATGTCCTGCTCAGGGTGGAAAGTCCTTTCGATGTCCCTGACTCGGTCACTGTTGACTCCTATGGTAGATCGTTCTTAGTCAAGATTACCATGGGGTCTGTGTTGATTCAATCAGAGGAGTTGGGGAGGAGGGAGGAGATTTTTTCAAATAATTTGAATAGTGAACATGCGTTTTCTGAGGCGGAGGATGACCGTTTTCCTATTCTGGCAGTAGACAGAATTCATTCTGCTGAGAATTCTAGGCTCAATGTCTGCTCTTGGTTGAACAATGGTCAGTGTAGTGGTGGGAAAGGTGTTAGTGGGGGTCAGACTTCATCGAGTGGAGTTCCAGGTCAGCAGAATGAGTTGGGGGATTTTTTTGATGGAAGAGAAAGGAGTTTCAGCATGGGGAATGTTATTATGGGCACGTCAGGAGTTAGTGGGCTGCCTGTTTTCTGTGAAAATACGAGTAATCACAGTGGGGTTCATGTGGGTCTCGGTTTGAGGGTCTCAGACCCCTCGGATGTTTTCGCTCTTTCGGTTGACAATGGAGTTGATTTTGGAGCTGCCTCTTCTTCACTTGGGGAATCTAACCCTTCTGGGCCCGGTTGTGGTGGACTTTTACCACTGGCCAACTCCAATCCTGCTATTCTAGTGGATACCGTGGTTGAAGGTATTGCTGCTTGTTCGGAAAATTCTAAAGTGAGGCAGAGTCATGCGATTCTTCCTTTTGCTCTGTCTGGGATTAGGACTTCTAGGGGAGGTTCGCTCTTTCGACCTAATTCTTCTTCTTCTTCAAAGAGTGTGACGTTGGAAAGGAGAACTGCTTGTTTTAAAAGGGTGTAAAAGATCTAGGGAGAGGAGGCTTAGGTTAGGGAATGTCCCTTTTGTTTTTTCTGGAGCAGAGGAAGTTCTAGATAGGCTTAAGGGTAAGGAATTGGATCAGAAGTCTGTTCTACCAGTCAGTGTAGCTGCAGATCTTAATTTGGATGGTGGTGTGGAGTCTTCTTCGGAGAGGCATTCTGATGCCATTAGTTTCGTTTACTTGGGTGATGGGTGGCTTTCAGACGGGTTTGACTTTGATTTCAATTCCATGAAATTTTTTAATAGAGTCAAAAGAGTGTTGACTAGGGAGGCATTGGATCTAGCTAGCATTTCAACTGTTTCTTCTCCAGCTTTTTTGGTCCTATTGGAGGAAGCCTTATCTATTTGGAAGATCAGTAAGCTTTTGGGGGTGTCCTTCAAGGTTGGGAAATCAACCTTTCTGGAAAAAATTCTTAAGTTGGAGGAAGATTTGAGGCGAGCTTGACCTTCTGTTCTCTTCGGTTTTTGGTTGTCTTTTTCTCTTATGATTAAAATTCAGTTAGCTATTATTTCTTGGAACGTTTGGGGGTTGGAAAGAAAGGAAAAACAAAAAGCTGTTCAAAAGTTAGTTTTAAATAAACGCCCTATTTTTCTTTTGCTGCAAGAAACTAAAATGGAGAAGATTCAGAGACACTTTTTGAGAAGAAGTGGTTTGAATACCTTACAAGGGCTTGCAGAATCACCAGCTGTGGGCTCTTCTGGAGGTTTATTGAGTTGGTGGGATGAGTCTTTGTTTGAAGTGGAAAATCAAGTTATTAACAGAAGGTTCATTGCTATTTTTGGGACCTTTCGTCCTTCCCAATTTAGGTGTGGTTTTGTTAATGTTTATGGTCCTTCTATTGAAGAAGAAAAAGCTAGCTTCTTTGAAGAGCTAGCTGTTTTTATTTGTGGTCAAAGTATCCCTCTTTGTGTGGGAGGAGATTTTAATGTTTACCTTTCTGAAGATGAGAAGATTGGGAGAGCCCAGAATTACAATTCATTGACGATTTTTAGTCACTTTCTTCAACAGACAGGTTTGATTGATTTACCTCTTCATGGGGGTAGGATCACTTGGTGTAACTACCAGGAATTACCCACCTTTGTTAGATTGGACAGGTTCCTAGTTGATGTCCATTTCCTGGAGGCGTTTCCTGATTCTTCGCAGTTTTTGTTACCCAAGTCTGTTTCTGATCACAATGCCATTTTCCTCGAGAATGGCGGAGTTAACTGGGGCAAAAAACCATTCAGGCTTTTCAATTATTTGATGGATGATTAAGAGTTTAATAATTTAGTTGGTTCTGCTGTTCAAAGACAGTAAGAACAAAAACAACAGAGCTGGTATTTTTTCAATCCTGAGGAATACGAAAATGGCAATCAAGGAATGGGCGGGGAATAGACATCAATATCCAGCTATGGAAATTGCAAATTTGGAATCGAAGATTCACTTGGCAGAGGAAAATTTACAGCTAATGCAGGCTTCGAACAGCACTGTTATTTCAGCAGATTTGAACGTTATGAGAACAGAATTATGGAGGCTTCACAAAATTGAAGAACAAATATGGCTTCAAAATTCGAGATCTAAGTGGGTGGTAGAAGGGGATCGTAATACAAGATTCTTTCACACTTGTGCCTCAGTTAGAAGGAAGCGGAATTTCATGAGTGCACTTAATGTGAATGGTGAGATTACTCAAGATCCGGCTATCATCAAAGCTACTGTCAAGGACCATTTTTTTGGAATTTTTAACACTAGGACTACTTTGGAAGTTGAAGATTTGAAGCTGAATTTTTCCAGAATTTCAGTGGAGCAAAGTTCGTTTTTGGAAAAAGATTTTTTCGGAGGATGAAATTTGGGAAACCTTACAATCATGTGATAGCAACAAAGCTCCCGGACCTGATGGTTTAAATATGGGCTTCTTTAAGAGATTTTGGTCTGTTCTTAAGGCCGACATTCTGAAATTCTTCCATAATTTTTATTTGGGTAAAGATTGGGAGCATGGAGTAAATCATACTTTCATTACTCTTATTCCCAAGGTCTCTAATATTGGTGGTTTGGATGACTTTAGACCTATCAGTCTTGTAGGAGGGTTGTACAAGATCCTTAAAAAATGTCTGTCGAGGAGGTTAAGGAATTGTATTTCTGGTTTGATAAGCCCTACGCAGTTTGCTTTCATTCCAGGACGTCAAATTCTGGATTGCTCTCTTATAGCTAATGAGGGAGTGGACTTTTGGAGGAAAAAATTACTTAAAGGCTGTGTGTTTAAAGTGGACTTTAGAAAGGCTTATGATACTGTGGATTGGCCTATTCTTTTTATGGTTATGGAGAAAATGGGCTTCGGCAGGAAATGGAGGAACTGGATTAGACAGTGTGTAACAACAGCATCAATTTCAGTTTTGGTTAATGGGGTCCCTTCTCAAGAATTTCCTATGGCAAGGGGTCTCCGACAGGGTTGTTCTCTGTCTCCTCTTCTATTCAACTTAGTTGGGGAACTCCTAAATTTACTGCTTCTTAAATCAGTCTCTGAGGGTCTGTTTTCTGGACTGCAGATTGGGAGGAATGGGAATGCTTTTAATTTATCTCATCTGCAATTTGCAGATGATCTTATTATTTTCTGTGGGGCTTCTAAAACTCAGATTTCAAACGTTAAGAGGGTCTTAAGGGTGTTTGAAGTCATGTCTGGGCTGCAATTGAATCTTAAGAAAAGTAAGTTATTTGGTGTTTATATGGTTTTAGAGGAGGTTGAGGAGTGGGCGTCGTTAATTGGGTGTGAAGTGGGGAAGTTTCCTTTTGACTATTTAGGCTTGCCGCTTGGTGCAACTCGGAATTCTGCCTCTCTTTGGGATCCGGTTGTCTCAAATTTTAGCAAGAAACTGGCAGGTTGGAAAGCTAACGATCTTTCATTGGCAGGGAGGTTAGTCTTGATTAAATCGGTTCTTTTTTCACTCTTACTTCTTGTCTCTTTTCAAAAATCCCTCTTCGGTTAATTCTAAGCTCAACTCAATTATGTCTAACTTCTTATGGGGAGGTGGGTCGGAGAAAAATAAGATACATTGGGTTAGTTGGTCCAATGTGTGCAAATCTAAGGATGAGGGGGATTTGGTAGTGATCGATATTAGTATTATGAATAGAGCCCTTTTGGGAAAGTGGTCTTGGAGGTTTGCAAATGATAAGAATGCTGTTTGGAGGAGGTTGATATGCTCTAAATACAATCTGGATCCTTTATCTTTATTGTTTAACAGCAAAATTCCAGCTCAAGCTTCTTGGATTTGGAGGTCTGTGGTGAACTCTCTTTTTAAAGAAGATTCATTTGGCTCTAAGTTTCGTAGCATGTGCAGAATTCAAGTTGGTAGTGGCCAGTTTATTCGGTTTTGGCAGGACAATTGGGCAATGGACTGCCCGCTAAAGGTCTCCTTTCCGAGGTTGTTTGCTCTGTCTTCAAATCAGAGTGGTAAACTAATTGAATTTGGCGAGTTTAGTTCTTTGGGATGGATTTGGAATATCCAGTTGAGAAGGAGTTTGGCAGATTGGGAATTTGAACAGTGGGCTAATATGATGACTATCATTTCTAATTTCTGTCTGTCGAGAGAATCTATCGATGGTTTGATTTGGATAGGAGACGGGGCTGGTGTTTATACTGTTAATTCTTGTGTGAAATTCTTTGGCTCTTCTTCCCAAGAGAGCTCTTTTTGGAAGAATTTCATATGGAAAGGATTGGTGCCACCAAGAGTTGAATTTTTTATGTGGCAGGTTGTTCTTCAAAAGCTGTCAGCGAGGACTGAACTTATTAAAAGAGGGATTACGGGTATTGCAGATTTGTCTTGTCCTCTTTGTAATTTGGTTGATGAATCATCTTCACACTTATTTTTCTCTTGTGCTGTCGTTTGGTCACTTTGGAATAAATTTGTGCAGTATTGGAGTCTTAGTTTGGTTCTCCATGAAAATGCGTAGAAGTTCCTACAAGCTTGGGAAGAACTTAATCCTAACTCTGCTATTTGGAAGTTAATTCCTGCTGTTGTTATCTGGACTGTTTGGAAAGCTAGAAATGATATCGTCTTTGAAAGAGGGACCTTTGACCAAACAAACCTATTCTTTCTAGCAAGAGTAAGGCTTTCATCTTGGTTCTTAGTTAAGTCTGTTGACTCGGTTGTTCCTTTGGATTCTCTTATCAATGACCCTTCCCTTGGGGATTCTTGTTTCCCACTCAACAAATCAATTGTCACTTCCATTCCTTGGTTCCCCCCTCCAAAGGGCTGGGTTAAATTGAATGTGGATGCAGCTACAAGTTCTGATTGGAAGAGTAGTGGAGTTGCGGGCATTCTAAGAGATGAGGAAGGTCTTTCTTTAGGCTCTTTTAGGGAAGCTACTGGTCCGGGTCCGCCTATTTTGATGGAGTTAAAGGTTGTTCAGAAGGGATTACATTTCTTTGATGCAGTGAGACGAGGAATTAAGGGTCGATTGATTATAGAAACTGACTGTAAATTGGTAGTGGAGTGGGTTAAGAATGGAACTTTGTGTCCCCATCTTTTTGTCTGTATTGTCAGGGATATAGCAGTTAAGCTTAAAGATGTGGAGGGTATTATTAGATGGGTTGCAAGGACAACCAACATTGAGGCTGATGGGTTGGCTAAGTATGCTATTGGTTAATTACAGTGTGTTTTGGGGTATCTTATTTTGGGTTTTTACGTTTGTTTGCAAAGGTCTTTTATTGATGTTGTAATCTTATGTTCTTATTAATGAATTTTAAGGCACTCTTTTCCTCCTTCCTCTGATAAAGGAACTCAAGTTCCTCAATCATGAAGGGGGTTTTTAGTGAGGCCTTCAATTCCTATCAAAAAAAAAAAGTAACATATTATTAATAGCTGAATTTCAATGAAATAATGAACCAAGAAAATTTTAGCAGGATACACAACTCACGATATATGTAGGCAAGAGATTAAGAACTCACCCCATATTCTGAAATAGGAATTCCCTGCTGAGCACGTAAATGGTGTGCTTGTCTCCGTTTCATCCACTGCAGAAGATGATTTTCATGAACAAAGATAAGAACAGAGTAATAGAAAAGTAACATGAGAAACCATTTACATGTTCGATGCACACATCCTGACCATGAGAACTCTTGACATTGAAGTAAAGAAACAGAAACAAAATAAGAGCTGCCATCATGGGTCCGTAACATACAGCGACAAGGTCTTTGATGAATTAAGAGACACTCTACTGGAGTATAGGCATGACTAACCTTCCCAATAGACATACAAGCAACGCAGAGCAATCCACAGTAACTGAAAAGCAGCCAAATCAGGAAACCATATTTCTGACCGTTTTCTGGCAACTGCATACATTTTCCAAATTAACTCCAGGCTCCGGTGATAAGATAGCATTCAGAAGGGAATGATCCTGATAACTTTGATGCATTATAAACTTACACAGTTCCGCGCACTGGTAAACCATAGAGTGCCGATTACAGTCCAGGCCCAAAGAAATGGATAAAGTAGCATAGACAGAATTGAAAGGACCACTATTCTTCCACAAAAGCGAGCATACCTCTGCTGCCACCCAAAATCCCTAGAAGCAAATGAAGTCAGGCATAAGATAACTACCTGTCAAGTAAAAAGGCAGCTATTAACAGAATACCACCTTCTAAAGTCAGCTGCAAACAGAATACTACCTACTGTAGAAGAAAGAATTGCAGGTAACTGCAACCGAGAGTCAATCAGTACAAAGGTAAACATAGACTTTTTAACTGTAATGGCTAATTGGCATTCTAGTATCTATGTTGTGTGGCATGACAGACAATACAATGAAATTAAAATGCAGCAATTTATACCCGGAGATGAAAAATTCTCAAGCCCATGATCGAACAGTCTAATTTAAACTACTTAATCATGAAAGATAAGTACTTACAAACCCATTCCAGCAGCCAGCCCATTATCTACAAACATCAAAAGTCGAAAAATGAACACGGTAGTGTAATCAACCTGAAACAATAGTCGTCAAGTTAGGAATTCAGAAGAAACATTTCCTGCATCAGCAAAATCTACCAGAATCAGGGATGGACGAGGGGGGAGGTGCCGCTGAAAATTTCAAATTATCATATAATTTAGATATTTCTTTTTTATATTTTTTATTGATAATCTGTTTATATCTCCAGAATCTAATAAGGTCGCCCCTAACCTAAAATCATGCGTTCGTCGCTATCAAGAAGGAAACAACTTCTCAATCCATTAAAAAAAAACTCACCACGATCCATATATGCAATGGGTATGTACAATGATGATAACGCTTCCAATTGATTGCAACAATGATTCTAACGGGAAAGAATTGTTAAAGAACCAACAAGTACTTTCCAAATAAACACAAAAGTTCATTTCCTACACCCTTTCCTCCAATTTTCCTAGCAATCAAACCGTAGTAAACTAGAATTCCACAAACGAAAGAAAACTAGAAAGAAAATCAAAAACCCAAATTGAAGACCCTCACAGATAGAGAAAAAGGATACACACTTGTAGCCAGCATAGACAAGAAAAAACCATCATACCTGCAAAAAAAAAAAGGAAATAATAAAAAAAACCCAAATTTAACTGCAAAAAGGAATGAAGGATGAAAAGTAAAGAGATTGAAAACAAACCACTTGAAATCGACGCCTCTGATGGCCATAGAGGGAAGAATTTAAAGAAAAAGAAGAAGGGGGCGTGAGATTTAGGGAATGTAAGAACAGCAAAACCCAGAAGATCTGATATTCATTTGGAAGCCAAAAAAAGGGTGGGGATAAAATCGAACAAGAATATATCCGTTCGATGGTTAACTTTGTTCTAGTTGTTGATGATTCATTAAGGAGAAACTAATTTACGGAAATTGCAGAAAGAAAATAAAAGAAAATGGAAAGGTGAAGTATAGTGAAATTCAGTAGAAGTTTGAGAACTGGCAGGTAAACGGATGGCCGACCTTAGTTAATCCGACGTGGAAGGGAAGACCTAGAAAAATATTAGTATTAAATAAAACTAAAAAAAAAGTTGATATTTTAAATAAGGGCAAAATACACAAATGATATCTCGGTTATATAATATTACTTTATTGTATCATTCGACTATTAAAAGTTATAAAATAATCTTACGACTATAGGACGTTGCTTTTTTAAGTCCCTCGACTATTAAGGATACAAAATGGTCATCTGACTATTCATTATGTTCTACACTCGTCTTTTCTACTAAAAAAATGGTGATTGCCTAAGCTTAACATTAACATAGTTACTGGGATATGATAGTTGTTTGAGACTCTATGTTCATATTATATTATATCATATCTCAGTCAGTAGGTTAACGTTCAACTCAAACTGTCATCAATTTTTCAACAGAAAATGAAAAGTTTGGAACATAATGAATGGTAGAGATACTATTTTTGTAACTTATGATAGTCAAGAGATTTTAAAAAAAACAACATTTTATAATTGAGGGATCGTTTTGTAACTTTTAATAATTGAAAGACTCAATAAAACAATACACTATAGTCAGATACCATTTATGTACTTTACCCTATACTAATCACACTTGATGATAAATTAATGGGGACGGTGGAGAGTGATGAGACGTGTGCGTCAACTGAAATCGGATCGGTAGTATTAGGTAGGACTTGTTTTTTTAGTATAAAGAATGCTACTTGATCCCTATCTTGTTTTGATCTCTCTTTCCATTAACACTCAATATCGAATTGATCGGCTTCGAATTCGGGGTAGAAAATTTTAAATTTTTTTTCCTTTAGATAAATTCAATGTATTTTGAAAGGGAAAAATGGCCCAAATAATCCATTTTGAATTATTTAACTATCAAAATAATCAACTTCCCAGATTATTTTCTTATTTTGGGTGAAATCTACAGTACCGAGTCAAAGACTCTAAGCTTACCTGGCGTCTTCAACCCAACTAGGAAGACTTCAAGCTTACCTGACGTCTTCAAGTAAAATAGGAAGACTACAAGCTTACTTGACGTTTTCAGTCTAGAGTACTAGGTTACCTTCGATTGGGAAACAAGTAAGTAATAATGCACCATTAATTATCTATTAATAACCCGAGTAGGTTGGTAGTTGAACGGGAAAGTATAATAAATATCTCAAGATGTTATAAAATAGGGTGTTTTAGTTGAAAATTGGGGAGTAAAGCAGTTGTGAGGAAAGGGGAGAAGAGGCCAAATCTAAAGAAGAATTGAAAGAGTGAGCATTCGGGAAGAATATTAGAGAAAATTTTGAACGAAATTTTCTTTCAATCTTTAATCTGTAAGTATTATTCGAATAAAATTTTTATTCGTATTCGAATAAAATATCACTATATTATTTCGTATTATTTAATATTAAAATATTAATTTTAATATGTTGTTGCAGATAAAAAAGAAATAAGAAATTCAACCAATTTTCAATCAAACCTTTTTTATTGTCCCAATTTACCTATTTTCCGTTTTTCATATTCATGTTTAATTTTTTGGTTTAATTTCTTCCGTACCCTCCATATTTTAACGCATTTTTTGCACTTAAGTCCCGGTTTATTTAATAATGTTTAACTTTATAAACTAATTAAAAATTCATGTTTATTTATTTTTGTCTTGCATTTAATTAATTAATTCGATTGTTTTTATATTTGAATTTGCATGATCCCTTTTTTATATTTATGTTATTAGCTATTTAGTTTGATTAATTTTTAGAAATTGCGTTAGGATTTTCTAATAAATAATTAGACTTAGTAATTAAGTTTTCACCTTAGTTTTAATTAGGAAGTAATCCGATTTGAGTTTTCACATAAACATGCTCGATTACTCAAGTGGAATGTTCAAATCATTGATAATTTGTCACATCAATATTAAAGCCTTAGTTTAGTTCTTTAATTCTTTGATTATGAATGACTTTATTAAATAATTAGACTAATAAATAGAGCCTTTAATTTTAGTTTTAGTCCTTCAACTTTATATTATCTTCATTTTAGTCCTTAAACTATTATTTTGATTAAATAATTGACATAATTGATTAGGTTAACAATTAGAGCCTTGACTCTATGATTAATTTCACCTTAGTCCTTTAATTAAGGGTGATTCGATTTGGGCTTTCGCATGAAAATGTCCGATTGCTCAAATCAATTATCCAATTCAATAATTGGTTAATAAAATCAGTTGGGATTAATATTATAGACTCGTTTTCAGGTTTAGTCCTTTAGGTTCCTTAATTTCATAATTCAACACTTTAGGCTAAGAGAAGCCTTAATGAATCCACACAGTAAAATTAGGTTTTAATTGGTTGATTGATTGCACACGTTTTTTAAAACCCAAGGCAATGTTCACTTTTTTTTTTGAAAGATGATACTTTGTATTATAAACAGTAACAAAATACACCACCTCAAGGACCTCGTTAAAAACTCTCTCTAACCCTAAATGGAGAAAAAAGAGTTAAACTTGAGGTGGTAAGAATCTAATACAAGAATTGCTTTTACAACAGACAAGACAAACCCCACACCACAATCCCACTTGAACTCACACCAATCTGTACCAAGCATCATAATGTAATTATAACAAAATAAACAACAAATATTGATTTAAAGCAAACACCATAGTTGAGAGATGTATCCGAACTGTAGCAGAGTTCATAATCACCAAACCTGAAGGACTAAGAAGAAATGACCTTGGCTACAAACAACGATGAACAACTAGACTCAATCCCAAACCATGACCCCGCTATTAGGGAGTCAATAGTATATCTCCCGCAAGCATGCTCAAGGGGTGACTACTAGTGATTCTCGAAGTAGGTCGACATCCTTTTCAAAACCCCTCATCATGTTTTCTTAAATCCGAGGCCCTGTTCGATTATTGTGCACAATAATTGATCTCCCGTATTCATTCTAGGGGTGAATATTATTGGCTTTAATAAACGAACACCCTCTTCAACTTTGCATCTATAGTGGTTTCTAAATTAAATAAAACTTCGAACTCAAATTTTTCAATCTTAAATATAGGGTAATCAACTAGGTACCAATTTCTGAGCGTTGTGGGGTGCTAACCCTTCTCCACGCATAACCAACTCCTGAACCTTAAAATGATTGGTAACCACTCCTAACATTTCACAAATCTTTTTAGAGAAAAACCCTAAGTCGTACTATTTTTCTCCACCCGGGCAAGAAACAATGTCAACAGTCATTAATATTTAACGGAGAAGCTGATGTGACGATTAAAATATTTGGTATAGCTATACATTTGATCATTGTTACTTGTAAATTCTATCAATTTGGTCTTAATTATAATAAATTAAAATAAACTTAACCCTTAAATCAAATGGCTACTGGTATAGTTTACCATTTATTTTAAATAACATATCTTTAAAATTTTAACTAATTTATAATTATGCATTGAGTCTTTTAAAATTTTAAATTTTTATAAACTAAATTAATAGTGCTTATCATTAATGGTACTCATCTGTGTTCGTCGAGCGTGACAGACTCATCCTAATATATATTGATACTTTTGTCTCTTTTGGATAGGTTCTAGAGGGAGAAAACATCTATGCTTAATTTCTTCCTAATTAATATATATATATATATATATATATATATATATTGAATTTGATTTTAAAATGTAATTCAGTACTTATGTTTCTTAATTAGGTATCTAAAATCTACCTCAGGGTACAGTTTGGTGCCTATGTTTTTGGTCTAATCAAGTTCTTGAATTTCTTTTTATGATTCAAATAAGTCACTTATTATAAATATTACTTTAGATCAAAAATAAAGTTTATACTAATTTAAATCAATAAGTCAAATTGAGATATCTAATTTAATCCCTTGCCGGTTGAGTTTTGGGTATTGGTGCAAGTTCTATTGGAATTTGTTAAAACTCTCCTGTTTCTTCAAGGAGGCAGGATTAGAGACCACAAATTATGGGTCTCTTTGTTCAAGAACCAAGATTTCCAACTAAACAAACAAAGGGTAAGTTACACTGAAGATTATCAAATTGTAGGTTTAATAATAGATGTCACTTTTTAAAAGAAAATAAAAATGTTATCTAATTAAAATATTATTACAAACAAGTTATTCCATTGTTAAAATTGAAATGAGAATTTAATATACAATTTTTTTTTTGAAGAAGAACAAAGACAAATGATAAAATTTTTAAATGTAAATGATTAAATTATTTCAAATTACAACCAACTTAATAGATTATATAAAATTTGAAAACTAAAAATATTATAATATTAAGTCACATTATTATTATTGCCTAATAATTAATGTTCAATGACTTATTTGTAATAATATTTTAATTAAATAATATGTCTATTACGCTTAGAAGAAAAGTGACATGTTTGTTACTAAACCATAATTAAGTCACATTTGTTGTAATTTACCCATAAATAAAAGTTAGTCTAGGATCTAGATCCCTTACCCTAACTCACTTTGATGATTTATTAACGGTAAACTAAACAGCCATTTGTTTATTACTTTTATATTAAAAAATAGGGATAAATTATGTTTTTAGTACATAAACTATCAATTTTGATATGTTTTAGTATCTAATCTTTCAATTTTTTCAAAATCATACCTAAAGTTTAACTTTTGTTTCATTTTAATATCCCGTCATTAAAAACTTTAATTTTGTTTCATTTTAGTACCTCCATTCAAAATTTAACGCTAGTTTTAAAAAATTTGAAAGTTTATGTACTAAAATGGATAAAAACTGGAAGTTTAGGTACTAAACATGTTAAGTTTTTAATGGGACGGTACTAAAATGAAATAAAAACTAAATGTTATGTATGATTTTAAAAAACTTATTAAGTACTAAAACAGATTAAAATTAATAGTTTAGGTACTAAATATGTAGTTTACCCTAAGAAATATT